GCTAAGGGGTGGCTAATAATCACATCGAATTGACTCAAGACAAGCATAGCGAAGTAGAGGTAAAGAAATAGAGAAGAACCGCGGTTGAGCTGAATTCATCGGTGGATTAAGGTCTCGAGGTGGGGATTCTAGTAGTGGGAAAGGTAAGGCGTAAGTTCGGGAGAAAATCGGTGACATGGCTAAGCTAAGGTGCTACAGTTCCCGTCGTCGCAGTGCGCACCTTGATGTGAAGCAGTACAAAAATTTATAAGACTTCAAAAAGACTGATAGTGTACCAGTTTACTGCCAGATTCAAGAACAGCCCGAAGTTTTTCTTGCATTTGGAATTATTTTCGGTGCTTAACACCCTCGGGCTCGAATACTTTCGGCTTGTTACTCGATTGATTAATACTTGATTAAGTGAAGTAACTCACTCAGATGCTTTATGCAGACGTCAGTCTTTGCGAACAGTCGCTAGCTAATCGCGCGATTCGCTGGCGATTATTAGTCACAAGTCTGACACCTGTCTCATGGTGCTCTGAGCGAACTGGTCATAAAAAATTATTTTGGGTTCGAAAAGGGTGCTGAGTATAGATATATTGCCAAGAGCGAGCTAGGCTTTGAGATTCTTCTGAATTATGGCAATAGCCTTTTGTAGTTTCGAAGCATGCTCGATTGCTTAATTGAAATGAGTATGAGGTAGCATAGTAGCATAGCAGGTAGTTCTAAAGTATTAGATTGGGCGAAAATTACACTTCGTTTTCTTGTGAGGCTGATGACTTCTTAATTTTTTTTGTTGGATTTTCGGCCATTGGGCTAAAGGGGTGTAGCGATAAGTGGCGATGGTTATCACGTGTACAGTTTCCTGATCACACCTTGTATCATGCGCCGTCCCGGTTTACCAAACATCCCTCCGATGTCAGTTATTTCCAGATTTGTCTAGGAAGGAAAAAAAACGTTGACCTGCACATCGGCTGGCTAACAGCCAATGAAAAGCATGGCGTAATCGAAAAAGCGATTAATCAGCAATGAATGCTTCCTTTATCCTTGGCTAGGCAATTTGGGTACCGTGCAACGCTGGAAGTCTGCCACACATTTCAATATATAACACTTGTATTCGTGTCCACTATGGAGCTCGAACAGGAGCAAAAAAAGTTGTGATGCTGAGGGAGAGTGCACTGCATACACTCTACAGCTGTGAAATCAGTCTTCTTTCCAGCGCGTGGAACAAATGCACAATTGTTATATATCAAAATGTGCTGCATATGGCTAGCTTTTGGATGACATCAAAATTCCATCAACAGAAAAATGGTGAATACTTGCCGCCTAACTTAATAAATTGCGAGACTATAATTACATAGTTACCAGTTTTGTTCTATGTATAAATGTGCATTTTTCAAGATTGACTGCATCATTTTACGAAATATCAAATGAATGCATCCATGGTTGAGTCTTTTTTAAGCAGTTGAATTCAATTTTTTGTACTAATGGTGTATTCCTTTTCCGAGAGCTACGTTGGCTCTTCATAAATGACTAACTGCAAGATTTCTTTTCAGCGCTATGGAATGGAGTCAGCAGACGATAAAACATCAAATCGGGGCTGATCAACAGTTTGGATTCCATGAGTTCGTACCTGGTGGTTCGAATCAGCCCATAGAACGTCTTGGAGAAGTGTGTTCAACGCAAGCTAGTTCTAGCGGCTTCTGCTCTGTTCCCAGCACTCACCCGAGAAATCATGAGGCAGAAACACAGGGGCGCAATTTACTGCTAGAGTTTCATCATCAAAACTTGTCAGCTCCGTCAGCTTCGGTCCGACAAATGTTCCCTATCAACCATCTCCTTCTGGACCTCTAGTAGCTTCTGGAGGAGACACAGTCAATTGCCCTACAACGTCTGTACCTGCAATTAGTCTCTCATGTATTGATCAAAATACTGCTAGAACACAGCTTACCGAGGAATTTGAGGATATTTCAAAACCGACGCCAAGTGGTTTATGTCTATTGCCTGCACAAATTAAGGAGCAGTGTGCTACCGCGGATAGATCTCCTACGGACCAGAAGTCTGAAGACGTTATGGTAAACTCATCTCTTGTGTTTCGTCTCTTGTTTCTTTAACCCAGTTCATTTCAGGATGATGAAGCTAAATCTAGTGTGTTAGAAGGATCTGCAGGAGAAGATTTTGATCCGTTGACTGTTGACACTATGGTAAAGTTTGTGAAGTTATTTATGAGGCTTTTTTGCTCTAGCAACTTTTGAGTAAGGCTACGTTTGGTGCTGAGGTGGGGACAAATTATTTAAGGTGTTCAAAGATGCTCCACGATATCGGCATTTTTCCCATGCAGATTAATACTCTTGCGTCTAATACCTGAAATGAATTGTTATGCTGCTTGTTTCAGGTTGGTTTAAATAACCACTCCGCGGGTAGCTTCAATGAATGTGGCATTTGTGGACCAGCGAAGGCCATTTGGGTTCCTGAGTATGTTTCTTTTTTCAACGTATTTTTATGTTTTCTACGCTATTTTCTTATCATTTATACTTCAGAACAAGTGAGACCGGTGAGCCGTTGGTGGAGCAAATTTCCGAACACGGTCAAAATATAAAAATAGATCCCCTTGATACGTTCTGGATCCAGTGTGATTGCTGTGAAAAGTGGTTCCATGGGAAGTGAGTGCTATAGGGCTCTTCTTCTGCATTAATGTTTCAAATGTTTTACATCAATTGTAATTGTTTCAGCTGTGTGGGTGTTGAAGAATACGAAGACGTACTCATCGATAAATTTCACTGTGCGCCTTGCGCGCAAACTAATGGGCCAACAATAAGTGAGATTTCTGTCTATTTGTTTTTTCCTATTTATTATTTTTTCCTTATTATTGTTCTTCTTTTTTTCCTTTTTTTACAACTATTTCTTGTAACTACTAGCCCGAATTTCCATACCTTTTTTGTCGAATTACTCCTTATACCATAACTAATCTCACAGGACACGGTCTTGCTCTGTAGGATGTTTTTGCTATGACTTAGATTCCGGGACTTTCACACTTGAAGATGTGGCTGCGCGGACGAGCCGGTAGTGCTCCTGCACGATTCGCGAGCCCATTGGACGTGACCGTGACACACCCGCCTGCTACGGTGGGAACACCGCCGACTCGCTGGCGCTCCGCGGCCACGCTTTCAAGTGTATCAAAAGTCAAGGAGCCTGACTTATCGGTGCATTTTTGAAGTTGGAGACGCAGTTCAACACCGGAATTATCAAAATGCCAAATAATTTCTAAACTGACTCACTGAGTTTCCTTTAATCGTTCTGCCGGCGAACATTAATTACCACAGTGAGGCTAGGATGAGATCTATCGAGCTCCTTCTACCGTGCAAATACATTTATGTTGAAAGCTCCATCGTCGGCGGCTCAACAATTCAAACATTTCCTACGTTTCTTTAAAATAGCCTCAAAACATACAAAACCAAGAGAAATAGTAATAGACTAAATAAAGTCACTTAGAATTTTCAAAGAAGAAGGTTAATTTAGTTATTATGACGATATAAATAAACCAAGATTAGTACTAAAAAGAAACGTAGAAGTTTGAAATGTTGAGCGCGACGAAATGAGCCTTTCACAGAATTATTTGCACGGTAGAAGGCGCTCGATTAGATTCATAAACTAGCACTCACTGGAGAGAAAAGGTGCATGAAAATTTCTGAAGTAAATATTGTTAATAAAGCAGTTTCCATGATAGCTTAGATGTCGGAGATAATTATTTCTTCGCTGTCTCCTCTATCTGATTATCTCTCCTGCCGTCATGGACCCGTTAATAGATTGTGTGAATGCGATTGACGATTAGGTAAGCGATTATGTTGAAAGGAAATATGAACCCGATCAAGATACGGCAATATCGCATCGAAACGAAACGTTATTGGCAGATCTCGTTCGACCACAGGCGCTCATAAGTTTCCAGCTACGCATTTCGATTTATAAAGCAAATCGTTAATTTCGAATCATAAGAGACTCCTGTTTTCCTATCAATAATAGCTAAATGGCATTTTACTGTCCTTAAGAAGCCTTTAATCGGTGAGATTTTTGTTCATTCCGATGGGATAGGCGAGCTTCGCCAATTTTTAAGCCTATCAATATTTAATGGCAGGCAGTATGATTAGCTAGAAGGCGAATAAGGGGAATGTGTCTACTTGAAGATGGGCAGCTTCTCTGAAAGAGTGGTTACATAATTCGCGATAATTAAGACACAGGAACGAAGAAATACATAATCAGTAGACACTAAGCAGAGCATTACCCGCGAACAGTAAAATTACCCTTTGTGGTGTACACATCTCAGCAAAGAAAGAAAGCTATTAATAGATTGAAAAGGTACACACCGATGAAATCAGCCTAATCATAGAAATGAACGGGGAAAGCATGGGATCTGTTTTGCGTTTAAGACAGCTTCCGCTTCATTTATTTCGCTGTCTTGTACGTCTAATAGCACTATATCCATTTCAGGTGGGAACAATTTATCGTACCATCTGCAGGGAGGGGATGCAGGCGAAGCTTTCGGTTGTGGGCTACTACCATAGCCGAGATATCGGATCGAATGTTAGGATGAAGAACATCATGCATGTCTTTATCACAAGTTACACAGAATGACTGTGTTATTAAAGTTCTTATCCTCAGAAATAGAGAATAATTAGCACTAGAACCCGCTCGATCTACACCTCTTACACTTCATAAAAGATGAATTTGAGTTGTTTGGGCGAGATCTGATAATCGTACAATGCAGGTTACCATGTGGCATCGCTGCTAAACACTACTGCCGAGTTCAAGCGATAGAAAAGCCCAAACTTGTTAATGTTTGTAAATTCGCATTCCATGTAGAATGGGCAGAAATTAGAAAATATCCTTTGAAACTGAAAAAAGAAGATTCGACTCATGGACTGAAAACGATGCATTTGATTTTAGTGAAGAACATCCTTTTGCGTCATCGTTTCGCTTTCGACGACGCCACTCAGTCTGAACTTCCTCCAGAGGTTGGCACCGAAGTATGGATTAAGAAATTTGTTGAGACTGAAGCAAGTATCCCGCCACCGTGAGTGATGTTCCTCTCGATTCCCAACATGTTCCATTGAACACCTGGAAGAATTGTTGTAGAACTTGAAAATGCACATAAGAGTTTAGTAACGAAAACCATGCTATTGTATGTCGCAATGGATTTGAATTCATGGACCACTTCAACCGTAGAGAGGATTGGAAGAAGGTTTATTTTGATAAATTTCCGCCGGTGACTTGCTTTAAAACAGTCTTGTTACAGATTTATTTGATTGAAGAGGCTCGCGGATTGGAATTGAGGGTGCCCGATAAGGACGAGAACTTTTCTCTGCGCTCAATTGTCGATATTTTTGGCAAGTTGCTTTCTAGATTGTGCGAGTTTCATAATATTAGTGTCATTGCTCTGACCTATTCAGTTCTGGTTATTTTCAAGGGTTCTGCATATCTTTATTTTCTCTTTATAAATCTTCTTTCTATAATTTTGAGAAATCTTATCATTGCCAACAACTCTCTTTTCGTTTACAGATAAGAATTCAGGACGATCTTTCAAAGTGGATACCATAGATGTGTACCGTCAAGTCACCCATAGCATGTCGATTGGTGCTTTCTATGATAAAATGATTAGCAAGGATCGCCCAAGGCTTTATAATATTCTTAGCTTGGAATTCAGTCAGAATGAAACGTAAGTTTTTTCTCTCTGTTAGAACCACGGTGCGCTTGGAGTTTCTGATCCTTCATAACGCTGAGAAAAAAACCACAAATTGCTATGTTAGGAAGAAAAATGTACAGGACCCAGTCTTGGTGACACTTTATTGTACTGTTCGTACTCGCCACCGAAACCAATCTATATTCAGCATGCGCAAGATGGTCTCTCCACCGATACTGGTGCCTGAGTTAAGTTTTGTGCACAAACTATGGCCGGATAAAAATGATCTTATCAACTGGGATCCCGAACGTAGGTTCTGATCACTTTTCGTTTGAAGTGATTTCAAAGCGCTATCGCTTCTATTGAAGTCATACCGGTTTTTGTTTACATCTTTTTTTACTTGGCTTCCGGTATTTTGTTCATATTTTCTTACATTTTTCTGTTTATGCTTGAGATTTCAGTTGATTACTTACCATCATCGATGAAGGGTGAGTGATCATGTTCCTATTGTTCCCTGATCTTGTACAATTGAGAGAACTGAAATACTTTTGGATACTAAAACCTCTGGTTTTGGGACGTGAATTCACGGTACCAACCCTTGTAATCAAAATCTTCTCAACTGTAGAATTGTTGTGTTACATTTTAAAACACATGTTTCTAATTTGTTAAAGCATGAAACGTGATCGGGTTTTCTTTTTCTCGTAAATTTTCATTTTTTGATAAGTTTTGCAATAGGTTTAAAACTTTAGAATCAAGTTAATTCATTGCTCTATCTCAGGGCAGATATAGTCGTAGAATGGGAAGTTGCTAACACAAAAAGAGAAAACTAGCGAAAATTCCCCTAGGATAGTCACCGTTCAGAAATTCCGCTTTGTGTATTCAATCAGGCTTTCGTAACGTGCTTTAGCTTAATTTTTTGGGTGGTTGTGGTCAACCTTAAGTTACGTAGTTCTTAACTTTCATATTTTTTTTTGTTTTCTTTTTATTGGCTTGTTATTCATTCTAATGCACACTCACTGCACTCCCATTCCTCCATTACCACGGCATTCCTTAAAGCAACCTTACCATGTATATGTACCGTACATGTTGAAAAACTTTTTGTCAGCATCCAATTTGATGATTTGCAGTCCGTCAAATTGTGGAGGTCCTCGAGGAGCATCGCAGGAATAAGCCTGAAGTGGCATTGTTCTGTCTCTGTGGGATGGGTGGTTCTTACACCGATTTCCACATAGACTTTGGAGGTTCGAGCGTGTGGTACCATATTTACGAGGTCTCTTAGCTTTTTTCTTTCGTCTAAAGAGTTGATGCCTGCTATTATTTGTCATCGCAAAGCTTTCGACCTTTAATTTGAAGTCTGTTTAGGGGCAAAAGGTGTTCTACATAGTGGAGCCAACAGATGAATTTCTTGACCTATTTGAACATTATCAGCGTTCTGACAACAAAACCGAAGTTTTCTTCGGTGATCTCTTGCCCAAAGGAGCGCTGCGAAGGGTAGGTTTCCCATGTACAATTTCTCATTTCTAGCTCATTTTTGGCGATTCGCTTGAGTAATCGACTGTTTTTGTCTAATTCTTCAAAATTAGTATCCTGGTAAAAGCATCCACATTGTTATTCCTCAGAATCCGTGGAGAAATTGATTCCGGAAATGGGTTTTGCTTCTTCCTTGAGGAGCGTATACGGGGGATACCGGTCGCTGTACAATCAGCAGTTACATTTCCATTCTTCTTTTTTAGGTGTTCATAAATGCTGGACAGACGTTGATGATTCCTTCGGGATGGATACATGCGGTATACACACCGGTGGACTCACTAGTTTTCGGAGGAAATTTTCTGCATGCTTTGAATGTCCCCATGCAGCTCAAGTGAATATTACATTCAAATCGTATATTTTTTGCCTTCCGATCTTGGGTTATGAGTAGAATGTTATTTTTGAGATCAACTGTGATATAATAATTTAGGGTGTACGAGATGGAGCAGAGATTGAAAAGGGAAGTGGGATGGGAGGAAAAATTTTTGTTTCCTCATTTCGAGTTAGTGAACTGGTACGCAGCGAGATCTTTTGTATTGGAGCACCTTCGAGGTATGCGGTGTTTCTCAAATTGTCAGAAAGGAAGAACCGTTCCTGGTTTCCTTTTTTGTATTGTTCGTTTTCTAATCAATTACTTTGACGTTTTCTGTAGCGTCACGTTTTTAGTGTCAATCATTTCAGCTTGAAAGCCTACCTGATAAAGGATAGGGAGACGAGATGAAAAAGGATTACTTGGTTCCTTATAACTTTTAAATCATTATATGCCTTACAGAAGCTAATGATGAAGGAAATAGAGCGGACAAATATATGTTAGATGCAGCGCGGGCGTTATTACCCCGCTTGAGGGAATGGATGCGAAGAGATAAAGTTGGTGAAGAGGTGTCCCTGTTTTATTGTTGGTATCCTTCATTACATGATTGTGCGAACTCATTTTTTAGGAAGATAAAGCAAACTTCACGCATTCGTCTTTCCACGATGTCTTAGCCAAATTACAGAAGGAAATAAATAGGCAGGAGGTTGGCAATTTGAGCTTTTCGAGACGACATAATCATGATTTCTGTGTAGTTTTTTTTTCTTTTCCAACTTCCATACTTTATTTAGTTCCTATTTAGCGTATGCGCCGTTCATTGTCTCCACTCAGCAGATCCCCCAGAAAGAAGCCAAAAAAGCGCAAATCTGAGGATACTGAGCCACCAAGTCCCGCTGAAGGTAATCACTTGTAGTTAGCTGTATCCAATGCCGCCGTCTTTTAATGTTTTTGGAGGGTATAAAAAAGATCAAATGCAGTAGCTTTCATTTGTTTTAAGTTGTCTAGCATGTACTTGAATTGTTTGAGCTTTTCACGTGAAATTAAGCAAAGGCCTCCCATTTCAATCTCTTTGATTTCTCGACTTTTTCTTCATGAACATTTGCATATAATATTGAGAATATGGCAAACTATTACCACTTCGTTCAATGCAAGCTATTCAGCAGTAATAGTACCAGAGTAACTGGTGTCATCTTGCTCAATCTCCTTTATTTCCTTTAGCTGATTCGGCCTACGTTTGAATCAGTTGTCGCGTTTTTTGCTTTCTGTTGGCTTTACTCACAGGAGTGATATCTTAGCTCTATTTATTGTGCATTCGCGCCTCATAATAATTTCATCTGAATAAAAATGTCGTTACCATTTTTCTCGATTTTATATGAATGAGAAATATTGAAGGGGGGGAGGTGAAGTAATCAAGTCGGCTTTTGGAGAATTTTATCGAATTTAGGAATGTACATTACCTTCCTTCTTGAGTTGTACGTCTGTTTACCGGCAACTCCCAAGAATTTTTTTTGAATCGTACTGACGATTGAGACGCAAATTTTAGTTAACCGGGGCTTCTCTTCTTCAAGTTCGGTACTGCCATGTTCAAGTCGAATAGAGCCAGTGAGTGCCTCTAGTGTGCCTGTGGAGAAGGTGCATGAGAAAAAGCCGTCCGCTCCAGCAGGGTAACCTCAGTGGTTTTTGTTTATTTTCTCAGGAGTTCTCTGAGTTTATGTTTCCAGAAACGAGTCAACGTCTGAATTGGACACAGATCTAGTAGCCGACTTTCGACTCAAACTGACCAAAAAGGGAAAGAGTGTGTGTTGACTTTCCGGCCTGTTCTTTGGAATGCTTTTTTTCTTTGTTTCTTCCCTTCATTCTCTTTCTCGTTTTATATTTAGTATGCGTCGGCCATAGAGGAGAAGCCGGATCCCATGCTTGAAGACGTGAATATGGTCCAGATGTTTGCACGCCGAAGTCATAGTGGACGAAAGCCTCGTCCATCCGCTTGGCTCGCAGCAGCTATAGGATTGGATGAGCTAGAAAAAACATCGAAGCAATTAGAGGGTCAGTCTGTTTTGGTTTTCATTTGATATACACTTACGGATAAAAGATAGGCGATTGAGTGGTGCTTGAACAAGAATCTACTAAAAAATTCTGGGTAATATCGAAAACCCCTGTCCGGCGTTCCATACTATTTTTTTCAGAAGTAGGCGATCAGTTGCCTTTACGTGAAGTAGTTTCTTATGAAGCAGAAATGGAAAGGGCGTGCGAGGAAGAGGAGGCAGAGCTACTTCGTGAGATGAATAAGAAAAAGGGAAAAGAGAAAAGCACACCAGCTGCAGGTATATTTCTATGCATACAGTTATCATTACCATAATCTCGCAACCACGCCTCAAGCTCGACTTTCTTTTTTTTGTTAGAAAAAGTTTTGAAAAAGGCGAGATGTCTCGTTATCAAATCGAAGTGGGGGGAGGGGTTGACGAAGTTTGACTGGTCTGATTATGATATTGCCTTGATTAAAATATTGCTCAACTAGAGTATTTTCATTTGGTTCGATGTTTCTGATTTATAACTGATTTGCTTTCTGATAAATTATTGTGGCGAACCTACAAGTGCATAGTAATAGATGAATAAATAAATATTCTA